GCGGGAGGCCTGGGGCAGAGGGGGTTCGTGGGGGAAGGGGGGGGCTAAGACAGTTTCTCCAGGAGTGGCGAGATGGGCTGAGAGCACAGATGATCCACTTCACGGATTTTAAAAAAGTGGTAGCGGTGGTGGTGGTGGTGTGTTGGAAGAGGGAGCGACAATTGTTAGAGGATATTTTGCAAAAATGCTCCCGCTTTCGCCTCCAAGTTTGGCAAGAAGCCAGGCAGCATGAGCGAGCTTGTGGTCTTAAAGGTACATCGACGGCATTTTCTGAAGCTCCCCAACAGGCGAGGAGTCCAGCAGTATACATTTAGGTTGAGTTATGGTTTAAAAGATACAATTATGAGCCCAGTCAGAAAAGAGGGGCCTGACGTTTTAATGAGACACAGGAGCTTTTTTCTTTTTTAAATTTTAAGAAGTAGTTCCGTTTCAGAATTAAGTAGCTGGTTAGGTAGTTGGAGACCTCAGTCACAGGAGAGAAAAAAAAAAAAAAAAAGGACAGCTTTCCTGGATGGAGGAAAGAAATCAGAGCAAAGAGAAAAGTTATCCGTGGTGTACCCACGACCTGTTTACGAAGAGGGTTGAAACTTGTTTGCTTGATTGCGATTTGAAAATATTCCCTTTAAAATAAGGGAGGTGATCTTCTTTCACTGGCGCTGTTTGGAAGGTTTGGAACTAGGGTCCACATACATATTTCAAATTTGTTTTTAGGTAAGCCATTGCCTGAGTATGTTGTACAACATGCACATCATTAAGCTATTGTAAGTTTCAAAATCTATCAGCAAGATTGAACTTAAGAACAGCTCACTTTGATTATTAGTCTCATATTTCATTGTGAACCAGGTAGAAAACACGAGGGTATGAAATGTATTTTTAAAATAATAAATATCTATGGAAATCTATTTCAAGTACTTGCTGAAAAATTGGACTTTCTTGAAGATCTGTTTATTTCTTGGTTGATTGTTCAGAGTGAACCCACATTTATACTTTTTAGTCTTGGTCTTTTTTTTTTTTACTGGTTTTGATTATTGTATAGGATAATTCCCTTTCAATTGGACACATTGTATTTTGTTAAAAATTTTTTTCCTGCCGAGCAGAAACACAAAAGCCTGATTTCAGTAACATTTTTTTTTTTTTTAACGATACCAAAACAAAAATGTCTTAAGTGGTGTTTTGTTTTTAAAAATTGTCTTTGATACCCTGGATATCCTTTCCTGCCATTTTCATCACAGGAAAGAAAAGATGGGAGGGGGTGAGGGAAAGTATGAACTGTAATAAGTTTTGCATGTGTATTTATTAGAATTTACTTTTTGAAAAGAGAAAAAATCCCCAAAACCAGTATATAAGGCCTGTCTGCTTGTGCAACATTGACCCCTTAAATGTTAAATTACAGGCAGCACTGTGAAAGCAACAGTTGTATGGAGCACAAAATTAGGACATGTTTGAAGTGATTAACTTCTCTCAAAACTTTATTTTAGACCCCATACACAAAAATGCCACCCCAAATTGATTTTCCCATTACGAAATGAACTGACTTTACACACTTTCATATTGTGGGAGAATAATCTTTTCTATGTTTCTAAAGCAATTTAATGATTTTTATAAAGCAATACATCAAATATCATTTTACAAACAAGGTCATAGAGCTTAAGAAAAACTACACAGCTTAAGGCATCCTTTGACCTCTTGATATCATAAATTCTACCAGTTGTGTGTGTGTGTGGTGGGGGGGAGACTAGAACAAGGTACAGTTTATTTTTAATAATAGCAGGGATGAGAAGGTCATTTGCCATAATATGACATCTCACCGGAAGTTAAAATTATAAATGTATACAATGCTATATTTTCCTGGGGAGTGACCTGAGAAAATGTTTAAATAATTCTCTGGATTTAGTCTAAAAGTATTAAGAAAAAGAGATTTTTTTTTTTTGAGTCATACCTGTTTGGTTTCATAATGATTTCTTAATGCCTTCTGTGTAGCTTTCACTTTGAAAGGCAATCCTTGCCCACTCTCCGGTTGCCGGTTCGTTGGTTATGTGCTGTAAGAGTTTGGGAAGCAGGCTAGCTTCTTGTGTACACAGTTAAGACAATAGTCTTTAAAAAGCAGATCAGTTTGAAGAAGCGTAACTTTCCTTAGCTGTGACATGATTATATTTTAGGCTTGATGAGTAAAACAGGGGCTTCTCATTTAGCTTGAATTAGTTTACGATAATTAGCTACCAAGCGTGATTGAAAATTTCTTAAATTTTTCATTTTAGTTAAATATGCAGCAACCCCTTCGCCCCCCCCCTCCCCGGGAGAAATTCCTCTAGATGGACTCAGGATTTTGGTACTTAGAATGCAGACTGGAATATTTTCAGTGATCTGATGAGTTCTAATAACATCATAGGTGTCAGAGGGAATATGTAGCCGTAATTCAAGTCTTCCCTTGTTTAGCGTAACATTTTTCAGATCGGAGATGCAGCGTCATGTGTGTGACGTCATATCTTCGACTCAGAAGATGGGGTTAAAACTGAAAGGGAATCTTTGGCAAGCAAAATCCAAAGCGAGCTGTGTACTCCATATTTTCACAGGATGTTCCTGATCTTGGGTGGTGTTAGAATCACTGAGATAAAACAGAAATGTACTCAGCCAAGATATATTGGTAGGACAGAGTATTTCATACCTTTCCAAAGTGTCTCGTTACACTACTTTGGGTAATGACTCTTAATTTTGTGCTCCACCAGAAAGGTGCAGCTTCGTTAGAAGCGAACATGTAAGGGTCTGAGCCCCCTTACCCCTCTGCCTCTCTTATAAAACACAGAGGATATAATGATATTTTAAAAATTCATCCACCAAGTAGAAAATAAGAGGCTTGCTTTTTGGGAAGGGTTGTTCAAAACCAAGTTTAGCTGGACTAAAAATAGGTTGTTTTTGTGTCATTGCTGTTTTTGGTACTCCATTAGTGAGCGTGCAAAAAGGCCTGTAGGATCCAGAACTCTGTGGCTGTGGCACCCAGAAACAGTATCTACTGCAGAAGCTCAAATGAACCTGGTGGGGGAGGTCTGAAGTCTAATGTGCCTCACTTCAGATTTTCACATACTATCTGAAATACGATTACATTCTGCGATTGCTTCACTGAGTTATCTCTCAATAGTTTAAAAAGCCTCCTAACGTCTTGCTTTAGGAAAAGCGACGTTTTTATAATTCAAAGAAAGTACCAAATTCCATAAAGTTATCAAAACCAAAACACTCCCTGCCCCCAAAACAAAAGCTTTTTTTTTTTTTTGGAAAGGGGACAATTATAGCCACATAATCCTTGAATGTATGAGTTTGAAGGTGGCTGATGTGGTGAGGGGACTCTAAAAGGTCCCAGCACAGTGGGGGGGTGCAAGGAGCAATAATCAGAAATGCTGTCATATTTCTCTTCCCAACTAATCTTTATATATTTGTTTTGATGTCCCCGGTACTTTAAGTTATTGATGCAAGTGCATTTTCCCCTATTGATTGTTTCATTATATCCTGCCACAGCTACGTAGATTTGATTAACAACCCTTTCAGTTCATGGTTCTTCATTGGTAGATAAACACATTTTTAGTATATCAATAAGTTCCAAAGGAATTCACTAGGCCAGCACAGAGGGTCTTTCATATATTTGGGGAAACAAACAAGCAAACAAAAAAAAGCACAGGGCAAGATTATACTTAGGAGCCATAATTCAGCAGCTTTCTCTCTCTTTTGGTAGCATGTCAAAAATGTAGGTGATTTAAATTTCCTTGCACATAGAGGAATGAAAAAGTTTGGAATTTTTATGCATGATCAGGACCTGTGTTTGGGAAAATGTAAACTCATCACAGTGGAAAATGTGTTGTTTGGAGTCTGGGGGTGAAAACAAAGCTGATGGTTTTGGAGAGATTGCCGGAGCCAGATGGCCTAGTACTTCCCCAGTCTGGCGGTCCAACTGCTCCCTCCTGGATAATATACAGCCATTTGTTCGGGGATATTTACGCTAGAGCTGTTTCCATGTGAATGTTTGAACAGCATTAAAAACGAACATATTAGTAGTGATGCGTTTATCGAACTTGTATGACTACACCCCTAGACTGTTCTTATGCTTTTACTTATATTGCTGAGAAGCAGGAAGGAGGGTTTGGATGTTGGCAAATTGTTTATCTAGTTGTTGAATGAGAATAAGTTGGTCTTAGTGAGTAATTAGAATATGTAAGCATTTGGAATCAAACTAATGGAAATAATGGGAGCACCTACCTTGAAGCTCTGTTATGAGCATTACATGAACTCATACATGTAAAGTGCTTAATAAATTAGCTGCTTTTACTATATTGTTGTTATTATTGTTATTATTATTGCCCCATTGGGTTGAGAAAGCCAGTGGAATCTGCTAATATAGATGTAAATGTAGTTATGATCTGAGTGAAATATCTTTTATCATACAGGGTTATTAGAATGATTTGGTTTTTATCTTGGCTTTTGAGTAACATAAGGGGTTTTATTTCTTTGAGGCATAAAAGATGCATTCTAAAGCTAACTGCTTTTGGTACACATTCTGTTTTTATTCAGGGCC